TGTATACAGTATATTATTATTATTATATATATTTTATATTATTTTTATTTTTTTTTTTATACGTACTGTTATAAATGCATTTAGTAATTCCCTGTCTATATGCTAAACCTGCAGGTTGTATGCTACGCTTCATATAATTTGGTTTATTAGTGGTATGCAATAATTTTTTTAAGGTTCGTACTTCGATCATATATATACTTAATTCATCATCATATTATGTATTTTTTATTTTACTATTTTTGTAATAAAAACTTTGTATAAATATTCTGTCTTATCCCTTTTTTTTTTTTGTCAATTTCTCTTCGTTTACTGCATGTTTACTTTGTCCCCCTCAACGATAGTACTGATAAATATCTTGAAACTTTTTATAAATAGGATTATTTACATCATTTTCTTTTTGTAATGTCATCAATTGGTCATAAATAATTTGTTTGTTATTAAAAAATATATTAAAATACACTTTTTTTTTTTATATTTCAAAAAAAATTATAAATTTATTATAAAAAAAGTCACGTTAATATCTTCCTCTTTTCTCCGGGTTATTTTTTCATATTTTCTTTCCTTATTTCTTTTAAACTCTTAAATACAATCATTATTAAATTTTATTTTATACTACTACTTGTATATATAATAATTCTCTTTACACATAAACGACGGTTTATGGATATACATAGTAATGCCTTCTTTGACAATATTTATTGGAAGATTTATGCCAATAGTTGTGTTAACACTATTGGGATATACTTTTTACGTGTTCGTATTTCTAATATGTGGTACGTAAAAGAATAAGGTTATAATAACTTGGAATATTATTATATTAAAAAAGACAAAGGGTATTACGCGTTTAGCTTTAGTAACAAGTGTATGGTCGATATTTTGGCTGTATGAAATAGGTCTTTACTCGAAAGAAAAAATTTATCGACCCGTGTAAATTTAAAATTTTGAATAAATTTTTTTCAATTTTTATCTAATAAAAAATGATTATTATTCTCATTTCAATTTTTCTTCTAGTTAATAAACTAATTAGAGAAAACCAATGGATCGCCCAAGCTAGTATGTTATTTTATCTATAATTTTTCATATTTAATTTAATACGCGTCATTCTAGTCATTCTAGTCATTCTGATCATTTTACTTATTTTTTTAACTTTTTTATTTTTTTTTAATTATAAAAAGTTATCTACCTAGTGTTCTTTTGCATATTATTTTTTATGACAATTTTGTCGTACTTCCGAATATTATCTCGAAGACCTGGATCTCCCGTAAGTTTATACTCTTACTTTTTTTATATCTTTTATCTTTTATTAGTATTTTATAAATATTTATTACGATAATTTGATTAGCCAATAGGGCCTAAACCAGATACTACTTTACCACAACAATTAAATATTGAAAATACTGAAACGAGTCCAATATCTTCACCAAAATCTCAACCTTCTTCAACACAACCTTCTTCAACAATATCTAATAAATATCAAATTCCTACTTCATTTACTATACATCGTTTCAATCCTGCAACTAATCCTAATAATACTTCAAATGCAGATGCTTTATTACCAGAAGAAAGTACTCCTATTAAAACACAACCAACAACTGCTGCTACAACAACAAATGTTATGGCTTCTTCTTCAATACATACTATAGATCAACCTACTAGTGTAGTTATTCCAATGCCAAGTACTTTTGTATGTAAAAGAGATGGAAGAGTAAGGTGGTGTGAAACTTGTAATTATGTGAAACCCGATCGATGTCATCATTGTTCTGAATGTAATCGTTGCATACTTAAAATGGATCAGTATGTATATTTATATTATACTTAGTCATTATTACTATTATTA